CCGTTTTCATTTAGACAAAACCCCCTGCCTCCCATATCCCAGTGGTGCCCTCACCTATGGTCCAGCCAAACACCGTGACGACCCCGGCACGGTACCCCCCCTCCAGTCCGCCAGCCAGGGCACGCAGGGCCTCGTGCAGACTGCTCTGTAGGGGGGTGGGCTGGCCGTCAAGGGTGGAGGGGGGGTCTGGGACAACCCCCGGGGGGCAGAGGACCTCCAGCTGGGCAGTGGAGGCGATGTGCTGGAGCTTCAGGCCGTAGCTCGCGACACGCGATGGAGCGCCCCCTGGAGGAGACAGGGTCAGCGCATTAACGAGCAGAGAACCTCGTCACACCTGTAACACACCCGAGTCAGTCTCCCCGAGGCTCCGGCTGCTCCCCCAAGCCCGTCTCCAGCCCGCACATCTCAAATAATTATTTTTGAACGGGGTGGGGCTCAGCAGGTTAGTCTCCTGTGCTTGTGACTGGATGGTCGTCGGTTCAGATCCTGGGATCGGCAAGGTGACGTTTCCACCGGGTCCTTGAGTAAAGGCCCTGCTTTCTAAAAAAGGTGTCACTGGACAAACCACTAACTTCAGACAGCCCAGAATAAATTTAACCCAATTAAGGTTAAAATTGACTTAAAACCAACCGATGTTGTCAAATCGTGAACATATTTGGCTGTTCTTTAAGTATTTCGTAAAACAAGCATTATTAATGGTTCGAAATTTTTTGGTTTGTTGATATATTAATTAACAGGAAAGCCCAAAAAATTCAATGCAGTGAAAAGGTGATAGATGTGAAGAAATTGTTGTTTTTATGTTTGTAATTAATTGTCACGGTTGAATTTATATTAGGTTCTGTGAACAGTTTCTATCTCATAAAACCAACTGCAAGGCAGTTTGGGTAAATCAACCAGGGTAACCTCAACCATTTACACAAAATAATCCTTTAAATAATAAATTTGATGTTTATACATTGAGATTTCAGCGCATCATTACGCCAGTGGCTGGAAAGTGAATGTCTGCACTGCCCTCTGCAGGCTGTAAGTGGTATCAAAACCTGGCCTCTCTGCCGCGTGACTCGCCGGAGGCGGCAGTCTGATTGGCAGGTTACGCCGGGGATCGTTTGCTCCGCCCATCCATCTTTGGCGGAATAAAGACAGGCCTCAGGGCGCCTCCTGTCACATCACACAGAATTAATCTCAGTACAACAGGCTGCCCTTTGAAAAACTCAGAATCTTACCTAGATAATACTAACGTGTAAAACGGGGCTGTAAAATGCTCCGCCGATGTTGTAACATTTCATACAGCCATTAAAAAACAAAACAGAGGACTGGGGAGCCCCTAAAGGCTGCAGTAACGGCCCCAAACACAGCACCCTTCCCCGACTGCTCTACAGGCACATTTAACACCCCGCGGGGGGGGGGGGCAGATGACACACCTGCCAATCTGAGCTGGACGGCAGGGTCTAGCACAGCCCGAAGATGGTCAGGCCGGGCCTGCTGCAGCACACACAGAGACCACACCAGGTCAGTCAGTAGGAAGGGCTCCAGGTCTGACAGCGCCCCCTCTAGAGCAGCATGTACCTGCAGGAGAAGATGAAGTGCTCAGAACGTCATGCCCCAACCGACCGCCCACTCAGCATCATGCACTTTTGGCCACAAATTGCCTGTGTTCAGCATGTAAGTGTCCCCACCCAGACATCACAAGTCCCCACCCACATATAAACAGCCCTGCCCACACCTTAAGAGGCCCCACCCACATATAAACAGCCCCGCCCACACCTTAAGAGGCCCCACTCACAAATAAACAGCCCCGCCCACACCTTAAGAGGCCCCACTCACAAATAAACAGCCCCCCCCAAACCTTAAGAGGCCCTGCCCACACCTCACCTGGCCATAGAACTGCTCTTTCTTACTGGGCTGGAAGTTGAGTTGGGCGAGTGAGAGGAGGAGGCTGCAGAGCTGTAAGGTGCTGTACTTCTGCCACTGCTGAGTGTAATGCTAGGGGGAAGGAACAAGGGGACCAGAAAGTGTGAGTGACAGCCAGCCCGCCCTATCACAGGCACGCCAGTGTAAAAGACAGCCAGCCCGCCCTATCACAGGCACGCCAGTGTAAAAGACAGCCAGCCCGCCCTATCACAGGCACGCCAGTGTAAAAGACAGCCCACCCTCTGAAAGTTCTGAAGGTAACAACAGCATACCCCCCCCCCAGATGTAGTCTGGAGCAAAGTACCTCGGCAAAGCCCTCAAACAGCGAATGGTGGAGCCACTTGAGGTGCGAGAAGGAGCGGGCGCAGCGGGTCACGTCGCCGGGGGTCAGCCGGGGGACCTGGGGCACAAGGTCGCCCGCGATCCGCTGGAACACCTGGCTGTGATGGAAGTTCACTTTCGCTGTGGAGGGGGGGTTGCAGGGAAATTAATCTCTGCAGACAGGCCAGTGAACAGAGTGACCACAAAAAACAAACACAGCATGTCAGGGGCAGGTCTGGCGGGGGGGGGGGGGATTATTTTAGGGCCTGAAAGATTTTACCGCTTCCTCAGCAGTCATTCCACCACTGACCAACAGGGCGCAGTAGTATCACCCTGGCCTGAATCCCCATTTCCTCCATGTCTAACCTTAAATACCGAGTCTCTGCAGGCATTCAGCTCTGTGATGCTCAGAATGAGGACAGTGAGCATTTCTCCCCGCCAAGGGACCCACGGCCGACGCTGCCCTCACCATAGGCGAAGACGAGGTCCAGCAGCAGCGAGGCCTTCAGCTCCTCCGAGGGCTTCTGCTGGATGTGGTAGGAGAGGGCCCTGAAGAGCGCCACTGAGCGCCGGCCCTGCGACGCCAGAGCCACCGCCACCTTGCGGATGTCCTCCGCCCGGAACCGCTCCACCAGCTCCAACGCCTGTGATGTGAGGGGCGAGAGAGAGCCTTACCAGCTGACCTCGGATCAGTGTGGCTTACCATTCCCAAACAGCTTAGACAATGGACCGGGCTCGTATCTGATCCCAAATTAGAAGTTGGGGAGTAATGTCAGAAAAAAAGACAGGTAGAGGGTCCCCATGTTGGGCGAACTGAAATTTTAGGTGGGTTTGAGTCCCGGCCGCATATCAGTGGGCCAGCAAGGCCCTTAACCCCCAGCTCCGGGGGGGGTGCCGCACACTGGCTGTCGCTGTGCTGTGACCCCCATCCCCCAAGCTATGAAGACCAAGATGGGTTAGGCGGAGAGAAGAATTCCAATGTACCTGTACACGTAATTGTGCAAATGGAAAATAAATGATTTATCATTTATCACGTGGTCTGGAACAGGCGGAGTTCTGTCAGCAGGAGACCCACCTTGTCCTCCAGCCTGTCCAGGAGCGAGGGGGGCAGGTGGGCTGGCCGCGCCATCAGGGCAGCCACAGTCCGCGCGTCTGCCAGCTCGGTCCAGCGCAGCTCCAGCTGCTTAACAACGGCACCCAGCAACTCCTCCGCCTGCGGCGCTCCCCGGCCGCACGCCCACTCATACAGGTACACCAGCTGGCGGTAGCTGAAACGCCGCACACGCCACAGCGCCTCCGTCTGGAGGGAGGCCAACACAGGCGTACCCGGAGCCACCCCCAGTGAGGTGAGGGCCCGCAGGAGGCCGACCAGGGAGCCGTTCCACACCTTGCGTACCTGGAGAAAGCGTCCAAGGGAGTGTCACAAACACGCGCCAGGGGCACTGGATGGTAGCATTTACAGTAATGGCTGCGCCTTCGAATGCCTCAAAGCACAAGCGTGAGGCAGGCCGTGCTAACCAATTTTCATGTTTGACTTTGAAAAGTACTTATTTATATGTCAGGGAGACTGTTGCCCAAAGGATTTCTTCAATCTTATTATAAACTGAAATTTAACTAATAAAGGTGTATGTGACAGAGGTGAGGGACCCACCCCTGCAGGGTCAGCACACAAACCTCCAAGAGAAACCGCTCTCCACTTTACCTCAGACGACACCTGGTCAAGCATAGTTTGCAGCCGTGGGTCCTGCAGCAGGTCTGAGTGCTTGGAGTCCCCCTTCTCCAGGACCATGCGAGCCAGCTGGATGACGCACAGGGCGGTCTCGTTGGCATTTGCATCCCGCTCGGCCCAGAGCTGTAGGACTTCCCGAGGGCTGGAAGCCTTCTCCACCAGCTCGTCCAGCTCTGTCCGCCTTGGAACAGTGAGGTTCTCCTCTTCCCAGGTGCTAAGACTGTGCCTTCCGCACAATGTCCGTGCCTGGGGGTGCAGGTTCAAAGCCCGGGCCCACAACGGCTCTGCGTGGGCCACAGCAAGAAAAGGGATGGGATGGCCAGCTAGGCGAGCCTGACACGAGGCAATGAGCTGGGGACCCCGGCTCCCCAGAAGCCTGGCCCAGCGGCTCATTAATCTGGTGGCCATTACTGTCTCCCTATAAGGCAGGTAGCTCCAACATCTCATCGGACCTACACACACAGAACACACAGCATGGATTAAACAGCATCAACTTTCACTTTAAACATCAAGTCACTGATTCGTGAACTACGAGTCCACTATAGAGAAAGAAATATTTCCTGATTCATTAATCACTTAAGGACGACCGCCGGTTTGGACAGCTAGCTCATTCTGACAGTAAAATATTCCGGAGGTTTCCCGAGATTACAATACCCTTAACCTAACCATTCTGTGAACAGAGAGTAAATTTCAGAGGAAAGTGGATCTTGTTATAGGGTTACACTAAGAGTCTTCCTGAAGCCAAGAGAAGGCTGTTTCTGACCTTGCCAGTCCCATAATGAAGAACAACAGCAGGACCCGGCAACATCACAGAAAAAGTCTCGTCATTGTTAGTGCACGATGTTTCAGGGGTGCAGTCCTTATAATAATCCTGAATAGAAATCTGTCGGGAAGTAATTACAGAACCTTTCAAAGCACTTACCTTAAAATATAAACATTAGCTAACGCTATGCGGCGACATTCACATGGTACTGACAGATAGCGGTCGCAGGGAGATTACGTCACCCCGTTAGTGACGTTAAATAATGAGTGGCTATCTTAAAGGAACAGCACAACTAATGTCAGAAAAGCGTTTCTTCAAGACATCGACAATTATACCAGGAGATGAACACTTATTGAGCACTTTTTTAGGATCACCGTACTAATACTAGAGCCTCCTTTTGCTCTCAAAATAGCGTTTCATGGATTTCACAAGATGTTGGGAACATTCCACTGAGATAATGGTCAGTGTTGACATGAGTGGATCACGCATTTTCTGCAGATTTGCCAGCTGCACATCCATACTACCGAAGGTCGGTAAGAGAAGCCAAAAACGTTATACAAGAAAAAGTACTCTTACTGAAAATAAAAGTAACTGAAATACAAGTAAAAGTATTCATCGAAATAAGTACTTGTACAAGAGTAAGAAAGTAGTTTATCAAGCAAGAATACTGCTCAGGTTACATTGGTCACATTTAAGGCTCATTGAATTGAATTGAATTTATTTATTAAATAACTGAAACCTGTAAGAACATTAGCATAACGTACAACTCAAATCAGGCATGTGGTCTCACACTGGACAGTGAAGGCCGTGGTGCTCGGTCTGCTGAGAGCCACTGCGGGCCTTAGCTTGGTGAGACGCCCGTCCTGCATGGGTTTCCAGGCGTAGATACAGAACGAAAGTATATTTCAATGTAGCAGCGAGAGAACAGTTGAATGTAAATGGCTGTGGCATTTAAGTGATGGTTGATCGGTATTTACAGGCCCAAAGTGCGCAAAGAAGGCATTTCACCATTACACCACCATCACCAACCTGGACTGTAGACGCAAGGCAGGTTGGGTCCATGGATTCATGCTGGCGACGCCAAGTTCAAATTCAGTCTGTGAGTCTCAGCAGAAATCGAGATTCATCAGACCAAGCTTTTCCTGTCTTCAACTGCCCAATTCTGGTGAGTCTGTGCCTACTGCAACCTCAGCTTTCTGTTTTTGGCTGACGGGAGCAGAACCTGACAAGAAGATTAGAAGGTTATTCTCAACCAGGCAGGAGAGACAGGCGTAAAGAGTGAAGATGGCAGCTTTACTGAGGAAACTGCCTAGTCCTCATGCAGCTGGAAGCCCTGTGAAAGAGGTCAGGTGTTTCTCTAGAAAAGAGGTTGCAGTTCCCTGTCCAAACATTGCGACTCAGTACATTGTCCACATGGGAGGAGTTGACCTTGCTGACATGAGGGTGGCATTGTACCATACCCATTGTACCATTCCCCCCATCGTTGGTATGTGAGCTTGTGTTGATAGATGGCTTATATAGCCATCGACAATAGATGGCCACTGTATTGATGAGGTGCAAAAGCACAAAAAGCTGAAGACATTCAGGCTTGAAGTTGTTCACGCAGTTATCCATTCAAGAAGGTGGGACGGACCTCAAAGGCCATAAAGCTGCAACTGTAGACGCTTCCGGAAACCAACAAGCCCACGGGTGACATTACTTTGACAAAATTAAACACTCCCCAGTGTTTGCTGACAAGGGAAGATGCTCAGATGAGAGAGGGTGACAGAAAGTTATAATTTTATTTCACTTTCTGCATCAAATAAAATATAAAATATTGATAATACAGTAATACGGCAACATATCCCAGGAACTACAACTCAAAAACTTGATAGAACATACAGTACCCACAGTACCCGGTTAGTTTTAATTCAGTAAAAATAAATGTTGTTTGGTTTTATATGGAAACCGAGGATGGCCGGGCTTTCAATTATTTTTTAAAGCCTTTATTTCGAGATAAAGAGATAATTTCATCTCGATATCTCAAGATAACAAAGCTCACTTTCACAAGATAATTTAGCAGCGTGGCAGCTTAAATTACATGTTTTAATAATTTGAAGCTTTTATATAGTTTACATTGATATTCATGGGCTATTCTGTATGTCTGCTATTGTGTAGATGGAATAGTGATTCAGACAATGTGTGTAGATGGAACAGTGTCAAGCATAGCACATTGTACTTAGTGGAATAACCCACATGGATTCAGACAATGTGTGTAGATGGAACAGTGTCAAGCATAGCGCATTGTACTTATTAGATCTGAATGTGGGTGTGAAGGATTGTTTATATCAAATTTCAGTATTTTTACTATCATATCATCTGTACATGTTGTGTCCAGTGATAGTTTAGATATCTTTTCTAGTATTTTATTATTATTTTATCTATTTATTGTGTAGTAGCACACTGCGCGCACCGAGACCTGAGAAACCGTGTTTCGTTCTTATCATGTCAAGTGGTTTGAATGACAATAAAGCTGATTCTGATTCTGATGATATAGCATTTCCCAGGCCAACAGAGCAGCTCAGAGACAGGACATGACACGACCGTCATGGTAAAACACCGTACCGGTACAGCATGTAATTTCAATGTTAAATACACTGACAGACACAGTAAGTAACACAGGACGTATACGAGCATCGCTGCGTTCGGCATGACTGCCCCGCGGCGTCACAATGTGTATATCCCTGTAATTATTCGGAGAAAATGATCTCGAGATGACGGCATTAACTACTCGCAAGCTCTGCCGTTGTGGGCTTCTGTAGTTTTATAACAAAGTTAGAAGAAAATTATAAAGTTTATTGACAAGCAGTCTCATTGGGTGCTTTTTAATTATTAACACCTTTGCAATATCATAAAACACCAAACATTTGTGCAGCCAGTAAATGCAATTGCAATTAATAGCAGAATTGCAAGAACTGAATAAGCCTGTCAAAACATTATGGCTCTTAATAAAAAAGGAAATGTCTACGGGCGGTTTGTGCACGGAGATTAAACACTGCTTTTCAGTGGACTTTTGTTGTGGAACATATTTACTGTCTTTGATATCTGTCAGATAGGTCTAACATACAAAAATATTTTCCATTCCTGACTGTTTAAGGGTTCTACTGATTATAGCACCTAACGGGAATCAAGGTTCTGCCTGCTTGATTTACCAAATGTTTTCGAAAAAAATATTATTGTAATTAAGAGCCCAACTGGTCTGCATAACAGGTCACCCTATAAAGCAACATACTCCTTTCAGGTTCTAAATACATTTTCTGGAGCACCGGCTCCTGTTCTCCTCTTGGGGAACCAGCAGATGGAGTCAGTGGCTAAGAAGCAAAACCTGAAGCCCAAGAATCTAACCAAGACCTGGGTGGGTGGGGAGGTCTTACCAGTCGTATGCGCATCTGTGTACATCCAGGAGAGAAAGGGAACAAAACCGAAGTATATTTACCAACCATACATACATACTAACACATAATAGACACGTAAGCACCTATACGCACAAATACATGCATATACGCAGTCAGTGTTCTACATCTGCTGTGATGTGTGAGTGGGCGTTTTTGTCTTTCTGTGCCCTCTCTTCTTCTGATATGGTGTCCGGCTCACCATGAAACTGCTTCCGAAAAGTGGGTATAGAAAGCAGAGGAAACGATAGATCAGCATTTGAATTGTGGCGATCTTGTGAAATCAGCACTCAAGCAACCTGCTACCTATATGAGGAAAAGCAGGGAAGCTGCGGCCATAATCTGTCAGTTAGCTGCCAGTGAACCTTCTAACTTTGTCATGGAGGGAGTTTGTCACCATCCACGCTGTTCACGCTAATTACATAACTGCAGAAGATAATGAACCTACATTTCAATTTGAAATTTAATGAAAAATGTTTTGAAACTGCAGGCTGCTCTTAAATCTATATAAGAAAAGAATTCACGGCAAAAAACACTTTTCGGAACTGGTTTAGGAGGTGGTCTGAGGGGCCGGAGGGCACTTTACATCTTAAAAGGCCAAGGATTTCCTTCAATTTTTAATCTCTGCAAAGCAATTAACTCCCACTTAGACTGGAGTTAATGTTTAATATTAGCCTTGGCGACCCACAGAATCCTTCTGCTAAAATTAAATTACTGCCAGATACATTCTCTAAACTCTTGGATTTCAGCAGTACTGATGGGAAAGAGGCTTTTCCATATGCATTTCAAGCAACATTTAAATGAAAAAGTTCAGCTTTTGACACTAGAGGGAAGGTTTGGGTTTTTTACGTTACCATTCATTGGGTGGTTCAGAGCTGAACACATGCGAGAACGAGTGGTTTATTAATGCATGCAGCCTCTTTGCGTGTTTATGTGTTATTTGCGTGTTTATGTGTTATTTGCGTGTTTATGTGTTATGGTGCTGGGGCCACCGACGTGATGTGGATGTGCTGGTGCCTGTTTGCCACATTGGTGAATTAACAGAGTCCCACCTGCATGATATATCAGTCAACATATCAGAATCAGTCAATATTTGCTAAAAAATCGGTATGGTCACTCATGTCAATCTTGACTGATATTGCTGATTTATATCTAGACTTAAGTCAATATTGGAAGTTAGCAGCACTGGAGCAGAAGACAACTAATAAAGAACAGAGAGTGTATCAGACGATCAGGCGGAGGATGAGGGATTCCGTCGGCTCTTAGAAGAGGGTTTCGGAGCTTCAGCCCATGGGCAGTCTTCACCGTCGCTCGGAGGTCTGTCGGTAGCTACCTGGGAAGGTTTCCTGAACTGCTTTGCCACAAGACTCCCAATGGGGCATTTTGAGGCTCCATGAACTTCACTATACCTTGAGGACCTGATATCTCCGCTCATTAGATCAGAAAGAGAGAGTAACTCGGCTCCCTGCCCCCCCCCCCAGTCCCACAGTGCATCGCGTTTTCCTCCACGTTTGCCCGGCTGCGCCCTGGGTCTTCTGAGTCTCTCAGCGGTTTGTATTTCCCCGTCATCTTCGGCAAGTCTCCTTAGCCCCTGTGGACTTCAGAATCCTGATCTAATCACCAGGAATAAAAGCATTTTGGGTGAAAGAGCATGCTGGGCCTGACATTTTCCCACTGGCCCTGGAGTGGAGTTAATTAAAGCCTTGGCAAAACGCGTCTCACAGGGTCTCACAGCGTCTCACAGGGTCTCACAGGCGCAGGACAGCTCCCGCTCTGATGTGCCCCAAAAATCTGTCTTCAGGAGGCCGTTTTCTCCACATGAGACTGATGGTGCTATTTTGAACTGATTTATTCTCCAGTCTCTGAGTTGGGGTGCCAAAATATTCTATTACTATGTAAAAACACCTTAATGAGGTGCAAGCAGAGCATCCTGCCTTTTCACAGATATCGTGACGTTTGACAGTTGGGTCTGTCAATCATGTCTTTATGTATCCGATTGACTTTGCTAACACGGTGACCTCACTGTTTATCGTCACCTAACAGTGAGAGATTTTACCCTTCTGTCCCCCCTTCTTTACCCCTGCAAACATTTCATTTTAGGTGATTCTAGCAATGGTGTGTGGAACTCGGTTTGCGAACGTGTGTGTATGTCTGTGTGTGTGTATGTCTGTGTGTGTATGTCTGTGTGTGTGTATGTCTGTGTGTGTGTATGTCTGTGTGTGTATGTCTGTGTGTGTGTATGTCTGTGTGTGTGTATGTCTGTGTG